GAGTGTCGCGGGACACTCTCCAGTATAGCTCAATGGATCGCTGAGGTGCGCAAACCGTCACACCACGGTAAGGTCCAGTCTCTTCGTGACGGCTTTTTCGCCCCCACCAAACTAGCATGCGAGGAAACAGTTCCAGTTCGTCCAGCCATTAACGAATCCTCTTTTATTTCAGACTGTTCAACATACGTTTAAGCATCCAAACAGCATCGCGTTTCGTGTGTCACACACACAAGTTGCTGTCACTATATTATGTTTATTATCCTAACACAAACAGGACACATCAGTGGCTGATAGCTGGATACTTTTAGTCTGTTTGCTCATGTGTGCTTCACACATATTGCTGATGGTGTACTTTTCATCGCTCCGACAGTCTTGAGTCACTGAGCAACGAGACACAAGACGATCATAGTTGTGTTGGCAGAAAATCGGTTGGCACAAGCGTGCACAGTAATAACCACGCAAATCGATCGTTGCCAGGTGAATAAATGATGGGAGTGCACATTTTCTGGCGTGCGTTTTGTCTCGACCGTTCATCCGAATCATAACGCACACAACATCGAAGCTGAAAGCAAGTCAGTGATCTAGATTATGCTGCTGTTGCAGTCAATATTTATTTACGGTTGGTAACCAACGGATTCGACAGGCTAGACACTTAGGTCAAAAAGTGTAAGAATGGTTCAAGTTCGGCAGGAAGCCGATGGCTCTTGACTGACAGAAATGCAATCCCGACGGGCCAAATCCTTCCGTTAAGTTGGTTAACCAAACTCACACTCCAAGGGATGATGGGCCGTGTCGATTAGATGGATGACACGGGTTCACAGGGATCAGGTGTTTGGTTAGTAATTGATTATGATCACGGATCATTTGGCAATGTGACCTGTATTTACAAATTCAATGAAACTATTGACTGTCCATTTTCTCGTTAAACACAAAACGCGTTGCTCCATCTTTTGGGCTCTTTTCCGTGTGTTGTAAAGTCACAGTTACTCAAAACTCGCACGCGCACCGGAAACAGTTTGTTCAATCCTGCTCAAACTCACATTCCCAGAAGGTCATTGACCAGGGTGAGGCAAGACAAGCTGCAGGGGGCACAACCTAACATACAACCATCCAGTGCAGCACCGTGAAAGGACTACTTTCGAGGAAATTAGTGCGGCCCTACCCGATGCTGGTATCCGGACTAGTGTAAAAATCGATAGCGTGGACAACCATCCAAAAGACCTCATAATACTAGATGAATAAATGGATTGTGTTGACGAGATCTATGGCAGGTACCGCAATACACTGGAAAACACCAGATAAGCGTTGGTGAAAAGAAATAACACGCAACACTCTATCAAAAATGGCAATATTGGGCGATAAAGCGATAGACATTAACACTCGACGCCGCTGCGGAAGGACAGCGCCTCTTCGCCATCTGGTCCAAACTTACAATATTAGACAAATGCATATTATGGTAGCAACCTCAATATGAAAAACATTCCGCGTATGTTCAGGTCCATTGTGATAATCATCCGTGAAGAAACTGGAGTTCTTGCATTAAAGTGGATTCAACACTAGTGGAAACGGTACAGAAGAATCGGTGAATAGTGCCACGAGGATTACAGTTAGGATCACCCTTTGTGGGAGTCCTATAGTGGTATGGCGACAATAAGCGAGTATTTGGAGGCTATCAAGTCAGATAGAATAGACGGTATGGTTCCTACGGTTACTCCGCAACAGAGACAATAAACCCTTCGCCATATTTAATCATAACCATAAGGAATGCGGCTTGGACGGGGCGGATATATATACTTGTGATGTGCATGTTTCCTTATACCTCTAGACGCTGGTCTGAAAAATTGTACGGCAGTGCTACACGTTTGGGTATGCAACACGCGATGACCGAAGATAAGCTGAGTGGGATTGAATTTCATGATGAAATTGAATTGCAGACTTTGTGCCGGGCACAAATCTTAGAGGCCACCCATCAAACTGCTTCTGATAAGCCACCGGTACAAGTGACTGAGTGTATAGCCAATTGCTCGATAGAGGGCACGATCTATGGGATGGATTGTACTCAAACGTGAGTGCTAAACGATGCAACATTGCTATCTTCACGGTCTTAGGCTAGCCAGTGACCATCGCTCCTTCACAACAGAGCAGTTACCGATGTTATCGACTGATTCCAGTCTCTATTGCATTATCTATCACGGTTTCAATTCATAACACACTCAGTGTATGAAAGTGCATTATCAGGATCACCACATGGATGGATTCAGGTTTCCGGCAGCTCGTCTGAAAATTCTTGCCTTGTCTCTACACTAAGAACACAAAGTCGTCCGTTTTTGACAAAAATTCAGAGTCTGGATAACATGATTTCTTCAGTTTCTGTTTTCATGAACTTCGCATACTTACACATTTTACAAAATTTCCCCACTATATGGCGTGAGTGGTGCAGGGAAAATTCAGTGTTAAAAACTGAATCCCATCAAGAGCATTTATGATTCTAAGAATTTTAACGTACAAAACATGTCTGGGTGTGTGTGATTGGTATACTACCGTTCGCAAACCGTCTACAAACCTTCTAATCTGCTCATGTTAAAAAGAGGTTGAGTGACGGAGTCACTCCTAGTCATGACTCGAGTTCAATTGGTTGCTTGGCTAGTGATCAAATCCGCATTACAGCCGTTAAATAGGTCAAACTAATCATATGGTAACGTAAAGCTAATGGTGGCTTCGTGATAGAAATTCACAAGATTCCATACTTCGCCTATAAGTAGAGGAGGCCTATTTGCTAGATTGCTATGATTAGTGGGATACAACTCAACCGCGGCCAACCTGTTGATCACACAGATGAGTGACTCCAGTTAAATATCGGACATGCATTCGCAAATAAGTTGACCCACTCGGAACATGTGGCCTCAACTCTACTAGAGTCGAATTGTCCGTTGGTGACGTGAGTGGACGAGGTGACATCACAGCAGAGGAAATGACACGTAATCACAGCTATCCTGTGATACATCATTATAGTTATTATCTAGGTTGTAACTCTTGTAAGATTGATAAGATCTCCGTGAATCAGTGGGAGTCACCGGATGCGTTGTTATCGACAGGTTAGTCATTATTGTGAAGACCGAGCGACCGGTTAAGTGTGGTGTCATGATAGCACCCGAGGGGAGACGGTTTTAAAGTAGTCCCTCCATCTGAGACCACATTCCAGTCTAGGACACGACGTTCTTTGTGTTGCGAGAGGGCGTTCCGGTCAGTAAATTCGCGCTCTAACCACTGAGCCATCCCACATTGCTAATAGACTCTGAAAAAGCTAACCTGAATACAGTGCTACTGGTTCAGTGTGTATCAGCCAGACTGATTGCTTCAGCACAGGAGAGCTGCCAAGGGGAATGATACACATATAAAGTCCACGTTGGTCAATCGCAGCCCAGCCCATCGTCTACTCTGCACGCTGAAAACCAGATATTCGCAAAAATTAATTTTTCGATATATCAAGTGAACCGAAGTAGGTGAGCCGTGGAACGAAATTGGGAAAACACTAAATAGACTTCTTCGTCACTAAGGTAAGGTACGTCAGTAGCCCACTGAGGCTCTCTCTATTACTGAAGCCCAGGCGCCCTGCTTGCACACTGCGTTGCAAACTGTTCGTGTAAGATCGGGGAAAACGAAGACGACGGACGGGCAGTGAGATTTTCCTGACCAAATAGTTTCGATGATGTGCACAACCACCAACCCACCGCTACGCACTACTGTGCTCCACAATAACGCACTGATGATGTCACCTCGATTGGTGATGAAACGTTTGCAATCAAATTGCCCAGCTCAGCGAACAAGCCAACGACCACCAGTTTCGATGATGCTTGGAGAGGAGAATGTCGAGAGGCTGAGGGTCAACCTGAACATCCGAAATGGAGAACCAGAGTCCCTTGAGAATCTTAGACCACTAACCATACGAGAGAGCCGCAAAATCAAGCCATCTAACCATCATGTTACTGTGTGGATAGATCTACTTTATCTGGTATCGTTCGACTTCTGACGAAATACAGCGATGTCATGTGAAAAAGGCACACAAACAGGAGTAGAAAGTGGTTCGGCCATGTCAAAAACGGTTTCATGCACTGTACAATGGCTGGCAACAAACAAAGGTAAAAACTAGTCATCCAGATCTAAGTTCATGTTCTTTCTGCTCCCATATGCTGGTTGCTAACGCGTGCTGACGTTTCACCAGATGGCGCAGGTACTCACGCGTGAGGAATAAATAATCTTCACTAAACCGCTTCTTCCCTTCCGAGTTGCCGAGGATAAGTTTATCATGTTTCTGGTAAATTCGATCCATTTCTCGCTTGACCTGGTTGAGGAGTTCGTGACCTGAAAAGGAACAACGAGTGAGCAAATGCATGTAACTAGTGAATGTAAGAGTTGGGCAACTAGCGGAGACGACCCTAGTTACCTTTTATTGATGTCATTAGGCTAATTGGCTGTAATGGATCACGAACATTGTGAATCCATAGGGAACGGGTCCCATGACCCAGAATTCAAAGTCAAAGCTATCTCCAGACACGGTCCGCAGATTAAAATAGATATTTGCACCCATATGCTTGATGATATGTCTGCACAATAATTAAAAAAGGTATCTACTACATCTTTTCACCAAAATATTGCTACGAATACTGGATGATCTGTACGTTTGAGCGATCCTTTGAGTCCTTCAGTGGGTGCAGTCCATCATTCTGACTTCGGTTACTGTGGGGCTTCTCAGCCATCCATCCAGTCAGACTGCCCAGTTGATGAAATTTTGCCAGTTGGTGGTGCGGTGAAATCGACCGGAGTGACCGGATCTAAAAAACATGTGTCAACTACAGGTGGCTATATCAAACGGTTAGTAGATTAAACGTCTACGTTATCAGGCGCTGGCAGTCTGAATATGCTTTTGAAGATGAGTAAAACATAATCTGGTTGATGATCCATCTGTGTAATAAAATCTGTTCACATTCATAAAAGTACACGATCGACAAATTTTATGCGCATTTTCAGCTGATTGTTCGGTGTATACCGACTCGGGTTGTGAAAATCAATCGCACTATGTGATTCTAATAGGGGTCAGAGTCAGACAGTATTTAATATATAAAACTACGGTAGAATGGGGTCAGTTCCGCGCCATACTACCATTTGACACATCTCGTCGGCCGCAATCGCCTGATAGGTGAAATACGGACGGGTCTAGAGCATATCGCTGAAAATTCGAAAACAATTAGGGAGTGGTCCGTTTGTAATCTTGGTCGCGAAGATCAAGGTGAACGGTATGGTCAGATTTTTTCGAATAAGTAAACTTGGCTTTCATCTGATTACAAATAAGGGAGAGAGATAGTGAACTTGCTACCACTACTTTGAAGACTAGTTGATGCCAGTCGGATGACCAGAGTAAATTGTCTGGCAATAGAGGAATCTGGATTGCGACCGGTCACAGCAGTACTGCTCCGGCCTTTCTGACCAATCATACGAGGAAAGTTATTTCACACGAGTTTCAACTTTTACGTGACTGAAGGCGGGCCCATAAAAACACTATGAGCTGGATAGTAATTTCGGAGGCGTTTCGATCGGTGGCAACGAAATAGTTCCCTAGTGCGACAGCTGCGATAAGTTCGTCTGGGGATTTAAGTCTATCGGGAATCTGTTGTTTGTTTGCGTTATATACTATTTGAAATACAACTCTCGTAAAAAGCACAATATTAAGACCCTAAATGCCCTTTTTTGTGAAATCCCATAAATTGAATTAGGTTCCAAGGTCGTTTTCGAGTTACCTGTCACACACTGTTTCTTCCTCCTCTGAGGCACTTGGTTGGTCTCCCGTGTAAAGAGCATGATCTATCAAGGAATTCCCGGAAGAAACAACGTTGCAGAATTTGTAAGTTACCCCCCCCCCTGATTTAATCAGCCTGAGCCGAACAAACCCGAAATGAAAGGACAGGGTTCACGTCAGAATGACGCATACTGATGAAATGCTACAGTCGGTAAAGTCTTGGTACGCTACACGGATACGTGTGTGATGCCCAAATTCCTCGGATTGGAGCGGCCGAGAGTCGCAAGCACAAACTGAGGCACTCTAACGATTGCCTTTTACACACGGTCCTTCCGCTTCGGCGAAATTCATTTCCAACGGCACAACAACATTTGGTGAAATTTGGTTGATGGAAGTTGGTGCCAGCTGTCGAATATTGCTCGCGCCCTGATTATGCGCGCATTCACTCCTAGTGTTATAGAACAGTCAGGGCCTAAAAGGTTGCCAAAATATGTGAACCAACCAAAGAGTTCAAGAAGTCCCTCATTCTGAACATTCTGAGAGACGCAGAAGGATGGGAAATCCAGAAGGCTTTGCACGGTGCAAAATGCGTGCCAGAACGCGGAAACACATTCGATAGTACTTTTGGAGTACTTTGGTGGTCAATACTCTAAATTACTAGTCAACTAATCGCAGTCTGGTGGCTCCCGTCCTAGAAACATGGCGTGCAATGAAGCATTGAGCTCGAGAACCAGTCTGAACAGACCATTCCAAGCAACGCATTGCTCTCCTATTACCGTAGCCCTTGGAACAACTTTCATCTTACTTCTTTCCCACGGTAGAAGCATTTGTGCTACAGAGAAGAAAACAAGTAATTCATTGGTATCACTCTACTGTGGGCAATACAAATGTGGAACAGTGGTGCTTCGCCCCCGTAAAATCATGTTGATCTGTCCAAATAAGACCCTGTGAAGAAAAGAAAAAAATGGAAAGGAGCCGAGTGTTGGCTTTTCAAGTAGTCGGGGTATCTCACTCTGCCATCGTAGGAGTATCATGGAATCCAGCAGGTACGATTAGAACGTTATTGACGAAAGATGACTGCATCAATTCAGCGGCGCGCTGCGCGACCTAAGGAGCGACCACTGAGCGCACGGGCAAGAGGTACTATGGATAAGTTGGTCTATATGAGACAAAAGGATCGGTTGGCGGCAACAGAATTTATTGGCCAGTTGTTGTTCAGTGACAGCGACATCGCTGAACGGAGGGTACCTGCGTAGAGGGATTGAAGCGCGCCCAAGCAATTCCACCAATCAAAAGTCTCTCCTTCCAGCAAAGACCCCGTTGTCCTAGCCCATAGCTGGAGACCACTGTGTAACCACTGTCAATCACGGTATACCGCTCGATCCACCAATACATCAATTAGTGGAGAGAGCAGTTGCGGTCGGTTCGCAGCAACTTACAAACAGGGACTAACCTCGGTGGATAAGCTCTTCTCTGGCTTCTCGGGTAATAACGGTGCGCAGTCGAACAGTGAACGCAGATGGACCAGCAGACTGGAGTTGTGTACCACCGCCTCTGGTCGATTCGAGAAACTGGGTTACAGCCTTTCGTGCAGCGGTGGTCAACTCGGGACGACCAGCAAGATCGATCAACAGTGTCTGATCACCAACAGACGACTGGCCACCCTGGCTGGTTCCGGACTTGGTATTTTGTTGCACGATAAGATTGGCTACTTGTCCGAGTTTAGTGTGAGCCTCTGGGAGCTGAGAAGATAGGCAATTTTGAATCCATGTTCGGACCAACGTGTCACGTGGACGTGATCACTTTAAAAAATCACGCAATATAGTTGTAAAGATAGAATTAGTTTCGTAATAGTTATGGAGTGAGGGATAGTTGAAAACAGGCTGTAATGATAATGGTTCGCATGGTTTGCGAGAACATAATCGATATTTCTCGCGTAAAAGCTTCTAGAATTTAGAAGATACACTACCAATGTTCATTTGGTTTCTATAGTAATGATCGGCTATGTTAGAATCCGACAATCAATGGGGTATCGAAACCCCCCTAGGTTAGAACTACACAACCAGGGTTCCCATCCTTTGCATGACCAAAGTAGAATTGTGGCAATAAGATCGCATAAAACTTCAACCATGAGCAACCCGAGCAAACGGACGGCATGGTAGATGGTTTTTTAGATTATAAGCTAACCTGGAAAATGAGGCCGGAATCTCCCCTAGTAGGAGATACCAATCCAATTTGTGGATCTCAGTTTCGTCACTGGCGACCCTGTAAATTGACATTCATATTAACCGCACTAGGAAAAGCCAATCAGTTTCCGCACACAGTACACGCGCCTCCTAAAGTGGCGCACATAAGCAAACTTTCAGTGGAAGGTTGTTGCACATAGTCATGTGCATAATTCACCCCACTAGACACTACATCACCTGGGCTCCCGGCTTGCGGTGTGCTCGAATTCAAAATCCATTCAACATTCAAGCTTTGATAGTTTAGCAGCTGGCTGGGATTCATAAAAGCTAGCACTAGATCATCGTCTTAGCTTTATATTGCGAATAAAAAGAAAAAAATCAATAAGCCAACCTACGGATGAAGCAGAAAACTTGCTGGGATGAGATGTATCTAGTAAGATAGTGATTGAGGAGGACAAACAGTTGAGAAGGGTGTATAACGAGTAATAATAATAATTCAGCTGCAACACCCTTTCGGTGTCTATCTGGCATGCCACCCGAAGGAAGCAGAATGATCTACAAAATATGGCAGATGACAGCAACATTAGCGACAAACCAGCTGAGTCGCTCAGCTGCAACATCCTTTCGGTACCTATCTGTCATGCCACCTGAAGGAAGCACGAAGGCTGGGATACTGCCAGGTTGCCCAAGCCTAGACAGAGGAAGTTGAAATACAGAGGCCGGGTTCAAACCACGGAACTTCCAGTCAGCCTAGCTGAGTGATAGAAATTCGCCCGTCAGAAGTTTTGCAAAGAGTGAACCTGTACCTGTTGCACGTGAAGGGTGATTTGGTCGAAGTAATTCAAAATCACTTGCCAACTCATCACGTCACTTGCCAGTGAATTAAGTGGCAACATTCTTGAATGGGAAACCGAAGAACAGACGTACGTTCCTTATCAGAACATGTGAACGTAATCGGATAGTGGAGATGAGCTTTTCTCCATTAGGTGTCAAAACGAGAAGAGTGAAAATGCACGCCAACTGGATGACGCATCGAGTTTTGTCAGCTACAGGTAGTGGCTCGATGAGCGAAAACACGAACGCCCTCCTCTCTCGTCAGTTGACGAAAGAAACCTTGCGGCCTGTTGATTTATCAGCCGGCTCCGCAAAAGATCATCTTGATCATGAATGGTTTGGTGTACCATTATGGAGCACCCACCTTCCTGAACAGTTTTCAAGATTTGCAATACAGGTCGGAAGAAGCAACAAACATCGAATAAATCTGGGTTTGATGACACTCGTCAGGCCCAATACAGTCGCTTCTATGTAATAGTGGTTGCCAAGGTGGAAAATGGAGCGAAACAGAAAAACACGAACATACAAGGATAGCAAATTTCATTCAAGTCACTAGACTCAGTAGACCTACCACAAACCTTCACTAACGCCCACCTACACATATAACGTACCGTGGAAAGAAAGTATGGTAATCATGTCTCTTCTAGATGTATGATGCTTAAAAAGTCGCTCTGATCGGGCAATGCAACGGACGTCCTAGCAGAAGGAAACTTGGTACAACCCACACATATCCTTTAATCGCTTTATCCCCACGAAATGATGATGATGATGATCACATGTTTGGAGTGCCGTGCTCTAAGGATAAGTACCGAAAGTGCATCAACTGAGACGACGTTTTTGCAAACTATTTTGACAAATAAACGTCTAGATGAAAATACGACGGCAAGTGAAAGCTGCATGTACACCGCCGGTTCTAAGGAAACCAGCGTCCAGGACATTACCATTTAAAGGGAATAAGTTAATCAACGAGAAAAATATTAAATACTGCAATAAACCGAAATTCCAGGCCTCATTTATACTTCAACACTACACCAATTCCATGCTTCCAACGTGAGGATAAAGCGTTTACTCGTTTGTTTGTTCCTGTGGGATAAGTCATATCAGCCACACGGCTAATACAAACACGCCAGGGAGCACTATCCCAAGTGGCTGGATAAAGGAAGTACCAAATCTATGGACAGTGTTGGAAGAAACCATTCTATCAGAGTTTCATTCTACCTATCAGCTAATGTTTTTTGCCTGGGCAACTGATATTACATGAAGACGAATGTAGTGGGTCTGATGAGTATCACCGAAACCAAGTTTGTTCACTACTGGCTGCTTTTTTAAGAAACTTATTTGTGGCAACATGCCGTCAAATAATTGGTGTACTTGCATTAAAACAGACTAACATAGTTCGCGGTAGAATTCCATCTGATCGATTTCGAAAAGCAGATAAAGCACATAATACTTTACTATCTGAAGAAGCTGTCTTTCAAATGCTCATGTAGTAGCGAAACTGGCTGAATTGAGAAACTGAATCCAGTGGTTTTCCTATACACGGCGAAGCTTCATAACAAGGTAATAGCATGCATATCAATCACTACAGCAACCCTACTCTATGGCTGTGAAACAATCTCTCCGACTGAAGACCTCAAACGTCTTCAGATAACTGATCACCGCAGTACAGCAGAGGTTAAGTGGTTGCAGCATGTAACTAAGGAAAAGGTACGCAAACGGGTGTGGGGTAATGGAACTGATTCGTTCGTGCAACGGATGTTTTCCAGGTTAGGATGGTTGGGGCACGCACTAAATAGGCTCGACCATCTCCTAATACAACTGCAGACCATCATTAGTCAAGAGTCCGCGAAGGCGCTGTAACGTGGGATGAAAGCAGCCACTGTGAAGTGGGGGGATGTGAGATCTCCCCCCTTTCCTGGCGAGGGTTTACGTGATTCTCCTTGAACTACACAGGACATGGTACGCGGCTGATCCCAGTGGCGACCTTGCTGTCACTTAGTAACCGGACTGTATAGCTAATGTTTGTCTGTCGTTGTGTTCCGGACTTGTCGGTTGAAATTTGAAAAAAAGATTTGCGCCAACCCCAGAGAATATTGCTTCAACACGATACACAAATGTGCTTATTTCGGTCGTCCTAGGAGGTGCAAGAACCTTGCTCTTGGGAGTTTTTTTAGAGACGGGGTTTTTTGAAGTGAGTCCCTGTCACCGTCCATCTTTACCCTTCATTAGGGCCTTCTATGCTAGCATGACACTTAAGCATCGGTTTCCACTACGATGATAACTGATGGTATTGATGCAGTACTTTGGTACCCAGTGAAACACCAAATGCCGTGAGCATAATAGGAAACAAGTAACTGCAATGAAGTCGTCAGAATTGGTGTTCACAATAACTGGTTGTTAGACAAATCATAAGATATTTTAACAACAAAAATGCACACAGACTGTACGCAAACATGAGTGCCACACAACTTAGAAGGTATCAGAATGGACCAATAATACAACTATGATGATTACGCTTCTGACATCCATGATAAATTCAACTTTGTAATTACAGTAGTTGAAGAATGCGGAGATTACTTTATTTGTCGTAGGGGTGAAGGCAGGGCGCAGCACTGATTTGGTTGCGATATCGGACCAATAATGTTGAGGTGCCAATATTCTTCACGAAATAGTTCAGTGGTTAAGGCGCGAACTTACTGACCGGAAGATCCGCGGTTTTGACCCAACCCAGGCATTTCAACTGCTGCTGTCTGGGCTTAGGCAACCTGGCATTATCTCAACCATCTGGCTTCTTTCAGGCGGTATGACATTCGTGCATCAAAAGTTTGAACGATTTTTTTCTTTACAAGAGGTGCTCCCGATGGGCGAGATAATAATAGTACGTGGGTTACGCAGGCCGAGTTAGACCTTTGCATACCAGTCCGCATAGTTCCACCCGACTAGCCATGTTGGCCGGAAAGTAGAGCTAAGGTAGTCAGACAAAGCAGGGAACACTTAAGTGACAAGCTAAGTTTCATCTTCATCTGTCGTCTTCTAGAGTGGGGACCCCGGGATGAGGCAATGGAGAACTCGGTCACACAGGAGCACTCTAGCATCAAAGAACTCCGCCTTCAACGCTGTTCCTATTCCACTCCAGAAACTCAAAATCAATGAACTTGGCATGACACTGCTCTCTATTCTGTCCTATCTTTATTCTCGTCGAAGAAGAATGTAGCAGCTGGAATCAACGTAACTTTGGCACAGTTCACGACTATAGGTTGTTTAGGACAAGGTATTGAAAAATGTTCCCACAGGATACAATGCAACAGGACCACCAGAAAATCAAGACAAACCCAAAGAAAACTTGAAAAAATGTACCGGGACGAGAAATAAACGCAACAAAAACTCACTGGCAAATCAGCTAGCAACTGAGGCGTCAACTTTAGTGCCATTCGCTGTTGCAGCGCCATTTGAAAGCGTGACAAAGTCCCTTCAAACTCCTGCATCATTTCTGCTTCATTTATAAAATCCAGCAAATCTGATGGAATTTGGTCTCTCGAAGGTTGAGATTCATTAGGTTTCCCCTTATTTTTGGACTTCCATCTCTTGAAAGAGTTGAAAGAAGGAAACGCGCTCGTCCGTGACATAGATATGGCCGACAAAGTGCGAGCCTGCGCGGTGCAGTAAAGTAGCGAATACCGTGCAGTTTTCGCAAGCATGAACGAGGTGAGCAGCTTACTCATTGTAGGATGTTGCCACAAAGGCTGGTGAGAAACTAGAATGAAAAATGGAACGATGCAGAAGTAGAGCGACAGCAAAAATGTCCGACTTGCTTCGCAAAGCACATCGTGAGACCTACAGGCTAATCTAGAGGAACGACCCTCCTAAATAGACCATGCTGCTTTGACTCGATGAGACCTACCACCGAAATGATTACCATCAGTGTTTGTTACCATCACCACTACCATCAGTAACGACGGCAATATTGCAAAAATTCGTATTCCAGTACCGTACAACCTGAGTCGTTTGCAAAAAGCAGTGGAGAAAACCAGTCTAACATAACATTTTCTTATTTTCAACTGAATGCGCACAATCACTTGTATGTCATGTATTAGTCGCCAACCCGTTCGTCAAAGCATGATGTTCCCATGCAGCTGATTGATGTAAAGGCGGCAATCCAACCAAGAGGCTTAGAGTAGCGAAATACATTAGATTTCTATAAACTGGATAACGGTATGGCTATCAGTGAGGAGGAGGAGGAGGACGCGAAAAAACGAACATAATGCAGACTAAGATTAATAGTAGGTCGGATAATGATGGAATGGAGTTTGAAAAGAAGTTGATGAGTGCCAAGCAAGCAAGAAAGCCCCAACACCCGCTGCTCTGCGAGACAGACCTTTGAGCCAGAGTCTAGGGTGGAAGTGTTTCAAGCCACTTCCTTCTGAGGCACAACCGGTCGACAAATATTAGAAGTTATCGTTGCTGAACAACCATTCTTCCACAATTTTCTGTTTCTATCTTTATTCTGGCCTTTACCCAGGCCTTTCTGATGCCTGGACAACCAATGTACACTGATGCTTCCAAAATTTGGGTGTCCAAAAAAAGCAGCCGACAAGCCGTTTTGACAAATGCTATTTGAGGTGTGGCTCTTATCGTGGGTTTTGACTCTGAAAATCGTCTGAAAACTCGTCCCGTGCTCTGGAGCAGAAAAAAGTTTGAGTCACTTGGTCCCTGAGGATAACCGACTGCACGCCGACAAATCACTTACTAGGAGCAAGGTATCTCGACACAGACCCGAACAAGGTCAAGTACCCACTGTAGAAGCTTATGCTCTAAGAGAAACAGCTGCGAATCCGACAACGGTGTTTCCTACGACACCTTAATGTACCTTCAAAACCAACCGTCACAGAGACTGGACCTTAATGTGGTGTGACTGTTTGTGCACTTCTATAACCCACTGAACCATACTGGTTGATAGTATACGTGTAATCATGGCTATTACCAGGGGCAGTAATATCAGTGTTGACACTCGTGCTTCATTGCTGCAATTATATTCAACGCCTTGGAGTGAAGATAGGAGAAAAGAGAGGGTAAGGGAAAAGACCTATGTCAAGCATTCTGAGGTGTCTACACTTCCAGAGCGGGATCCCGAGGACCCATCCTGAAAGACATGAAACACCTAAAATCTTCGTAATCTCTTTCATACCATTCTGCAAAGTCATACATTGCCCACTTCGCGATTCGCACCAATCTGAAGGAGGCATGGATAACAAAGACCATCTCGGTAGACGATGTTTCGGCATGCGTAGAACATGAGCGAGGCATTGTAATTCGTACTGGAGGTTTTTCGCGATTGAAGTACCTGCTGCACAACTGAATATCCTTAATCTAACTACCTCGTTACGAATTCGTCTACTCCATCCGATCAACACCAACAACGCGTCTGAGGCATCGGTGGCCAAAAATCTGAAGACGCTTTACATCATCTGTCTGCAGAGGCCACGTCTCGCAGCCATACAGAAACACAGTCCTTACTGCATCCTGGCACATGCAGCTCTTAAGATCCAGCTATGTGCCTTTTTGACGCCATAAGTGACATAAATTAAAGATTCATGCACTAGTCCTAGACTAAAGTCTTTAGTTCAAAAGCCTGACCGCAGCGCAGGTGTTTGACGGGGAATGCAAGTGCATCACCATTTTTGCAGAGCAAGTCGCCATACATGTTCTAACGCCCAACCTGGGGGCCAGGAGATCACTAAACAACCTGATAGAAAAAATGTCCAACTGTAATACCCTTCCTGTGCCTAGCTGCTATGTCACTCGAAGGAAGCACACGGGCTGGGATACTACCGGGTTGCCCAAACCTACATAGAAGTCGAGAGGCAGAGGTCTGTTGTATCTTGCGTGGTGGCCGAGCTATTGGGTTACGCCTGCACTGAGTCTGCCAGACTACGCGATAGGGAGAAGACAGAGAACTGGGGACACGGCTGTATTGCCAAGACAAAACATGCAGAGCGTCTGCGTAATATATAGGATGACTAATTGGCCAGATATAATCGTTCGCTTGTTCGCTCCGTACAGCCAATGGTGGTGTTCCGGTCGTGAACATTCTCAGGCCCACTACGCTGGTCGTCTGTTGCTAAGCCGTGTTTGGTGAGAACCGCCAACTCACCTACTTTCCGGACGTGTCGAACCGATGGTGACCTTGGGGATGCGTCACTCTCTGCACATGTGCTTTTTCTTCTGTCTGGGTGCGCCCTGACAAGGTCCAGTTTGAACCACGGACTTTCTGTTAAGTTCGCGCTCTAACTACTTGAGCCATCTCGCCCCAACCTGAGACTTTGCGAACGTCACAGGAACACTATCAGCATAGGTCAATGGGTTGCGAAGCCACACACACCACGATAGGGCCCAACTTCCTCATTAGTCCCTACAGCTCTTTCTGTCTGCCATGCACCACCTGCGGGACACATTGAATCAACTACTGGGTTGAGGATAGGGCCAGGAGAATGTCAACACGTATTTGACTGTCAAATCCACGCTGAGTTCCAATTTGTTCCTCACACATTACGATCTATCACTGGAAATTGTTGTGGCACCGGATGCTTCCAGCTATGGTCCTGGCGCAGTGATCTCCACGTATTCCGTGAAAGCAGCCAAAAAGTCATTGCACATCCGGCAGCCGAGCGCAACTACGGTCAGATAGAAAAGAAAGCTCTGGCGATTGTTTGCCATCAAAAGGTGTCGTAAGTGTTCTGGGACCTGCAGTTTACATACTGATCGATCACAAGCCGCTCAGTACTGCGTTTCGCTTGAGGAAGGGGATTCTGGTGTATACCGCCAACCTCAGGAATGGGACTCCAAGATCAAGTGCCTGTCGATCACCAGCCTCGGGCGAACCGAACGCTGTCACGTCGATAGCTCGAGACAGCTCAGTGGTTAAGGCACCAGCTTAAGGAACGGAATGTCCGTGGTCCGAAGCCAACCTCGGCATTTCGACTGTTACTGTATAAGTTTGGACAAACTGGAAGTATCCCAGCCCCCGTGTCTCACTCCGTTGGCATAGCAGCTAGGAACCGAATGGGTGTTACAGCTGGGAAATTTTTTTCTTGTCCCGTTGATTCAAGCAAGTCAGAATCGGAAAACAATATGGTCACAACAATGGCCTTAGAGCCTGTGATGAACCGCGTAGTACCGGAAGCAGTTTGTACCATCCCGCGGACTGCTGACATAGTCCGCTAGACTACAGATCAAGACCCTGTGTTGCAGCAGGTCATCAAGCAACACCTCAGTCAATGACAGGGTACCTTAGTTCAACTGGAGTGACGCACCATCACTAGTCAACGGACGCCTAGTATTTTCAGAACGCGTTGTCATTCCAAAAGAGCTACAACCAACCCTACTGAAGGCGTTTATTAAAGGGCACCCAGGAACAAACAGGATGAAGGCCCGTACTCGGAGTTATGTCTGCTGGCCACTTATAGACGCACAGATGGAGGAAGTCACCGAATTCTACTTGCGGTGTGGTGAAGCATCCGAGTCACCCGTGAAAACCTACCTAGGGTCGTAGCCGAAGCCAGCCGAACCATGGTCTCTACTTCACAGTGGCTGTGCACGTCCAGTTGGTGTCCAGCACCTTTTAGTAGTGGTCGTTCGTCTTGGAGCAAACATCTAGGGGTAGACCACACTGTTGTTTGTGCGAGCCATCAGTCATTTTTGTTGAGCGCATCAGTTCCTAGTCACCACAAGCTCATGCATTCATCCAGCAATCCGATAATCAAAGCGTTTCACGAGTTTGTGGGAACCACCTGAGTGGCTGAAAGCGCTAAGTTGAAAAGCGAGCAAGTGGATGGTTGGGTGTCAACTATGATTAGTACACTGGTGATGGGACAGAAAGTGGGAGAAACGGGTGGATTGCAGATTGAATTGAACTGCATTCAACGAACAGCAATTACGAGTCTGTGAGATAGGGTTCGGTGTGCGGATTCTGTGAGAAGAGTTAGGAACGAAGAGGCTTCACCGTCTGAAAGAGTTCGAACGCAACCAGAAGTAGAACAACCATAAATAGAAGGAACCTAGATGAAGAGCAGAACTTTACGGAATGTAGCCCCCGATTTGATAGTCGGGCAGTAAAGTCTTCACAGCACACACTTTTGAGAGTAGCCCACAATTTGATAGTCGGGCAGTAAAGTCGTCACAGCACACATTGTTGAGGGCATTTGAAATATCAAAGCATACCAAACGAGTCCAGAGTATATCATCATACGTGTGATACGTGCGCCGCAGCGTCACCGACATGGAGTTGACACCCACGCCCATATTAATGATAACTCATTAGGCGATTTTGGCTTCAGTGTATAACCGCCGAGCGACCCGGAGAAAACATGACGGCTTGGGAAAGTTAGAATATGCTGAAAACATCGCCTGTCTTTCAAGGGGAAAAGGCACAGGTGTTTCTGGATGGATTGACCGAAGCCATCCACTTCTTCTACATGCGCTTTGCACCCACGAAGCGTAAATTTATGCTTCTAAGCATGCAGTCTCTAGGTACGCCACCTACATCCCAAGGAGACAGTATAGGGTGGCAGGTGGAGGTAATGCACAGATCTCCAAGATCCAGGGTCTCTGTTGTTAACTTGAGAGGCTGTTAGGCAGAAGTGCACACCGATACCGCTCGCAATTAGGCGCCGCCACAGTCGAGAAGTCTATGCCGCACAAGATTGACCAAAATTCGAGCCGTTTGCCGGTCCGGCATCAAATCGTGCTCCGACTGATCGAACAGCTGGTTACGACCCAGTAGTTGTCGAATACCGGATGCCAATGGCGCATCCAGGCATCAGAAATTCCAGAGGGTCGCAGCATAAACGCTATTTTCGACGCTTTGTAAAAGTGTTCTTGACCTGGTTCTGGGTGTCAATATACGTTGTGCACCTATGGTGAATGATTTTCACGAGAAGACTAGCTTAGGAGGTTCAAACGGGGAACTAAGCGGAGGAAAATACGGTTAGTACAGACATTTATGACGGAAAATGGGCATATCCATGAGTCTGAGGAGACGCGTGCAGCAGACTACAGCACGGGCTGCTTTGGTGTATGGTCGTGAGACGTAGGATCATTAAGCTGCCGAATTGAGAAGTCTTTAGGCCTGCGACACCTGGTGTCCGAAAACCATGGCATGTTTACGAGAAATACACGCAGGGGAATTCCTTGTCCCTAATGAGCCTACGGAAAAATGCCACGTGACAGGTGCCAATCTATCCTATCGAGCGCGGTGGACTCCTCAGCCAGTGCCTGCCCAGCCTGTTTGGGTCTATCTGAGGGAAGGAGACCATCCCAGACAACTGTGGTGAATCGACAGTAGTGCCCATTTTCAAAAAGGGTACTCGCACTGAACGTTGTAGCCACAGAGGTTTTGGTTTGACTGGTGAATCGCAGTAGTGCCCATTTTCAAAAAGGGTACTCGCACTGAACGTTGTAGCCACAGAGGTTTTGGTTTGACTCCTGTAGTGACAAGGCTTCTCGCGTCACTGATTATTCGTCTTACGGTGCACGCGAAGCCTTGACTCGCGAGAATCAAGGGGGATTTCGACCGGGTAGAGGCTGCGTTGACCACATCTTCACACTCCATCAGGTGTTTGTAGCAATGGTATTTTCTCAGCTTAGTTCTCGGTCTGAGACTCCCAAGTTAGCTTTCACGTCAAAGGCAACCACCAAAGGTGCACAGGATATATTGACGCCCAAAACGAGGTCAGGAATACTTGTACAGTGTTTCATATATGTAGCGTAAGCGACAACTTCCTGGGAATTCTGACGCTTGCTGGATGCGCCCTTGGCAACCGTCATTCGGCCAATACTGGGTCTTGATAGGCTGGTGTGCCCAGGCTTTCGACCAATCATATCTCAGCTTGATGATGGACCGGCAAGCACCCCGAATCTTTGGTCAATCTTGCGTGGGATAGGGTTTTTGGCCGTATCAGCACCTGACTGCGAGCGACAAAGCCGGATCCCTGTGGAATTCCACCCATCAACGCCACACGTACAGACAACCCGCAATCCTGGTGTCCCTTGACTTCAAGGGTGCGTTTGATTCTGTCGACCGATCAGTACTGTTTACTTCACTTACTCAATAGGGTATGCCCCAGAATTCTGTAAACACAATCCAATCCGTATATTCACATGCTTCTGGGTGAGTGTTTGGTGAGCCCTCCAAATGCTCCTCTGCAAAAAGTAGTGACAGTCAATGGTGTTCACTTTCTCTTTCTCGTTCATCTTCGTCATTGATGAAATATTGAGGCGAACGCTGGGAATTCCTCAAAACCCTGGTGTTCATATTTTTGCTTGTTAGGGCCCTCTCCGTCTGGAGTATTTAGATGCCCTCACCTTTGAAGATCAAGGTGAAGCACAAACCCTTTTGAATAGACTAACCACTATCATACCATTTTTGGCACGCACTCTGCACCTTTCACGGATCCACGGATTGATACACTGGATCGAGACGTTGACTCAAGTTTCTCCGATCGGTTATGTTCTTGTCGTTCAGCGGCTGTCGTTTTCTTGAAATGCACAAGTGAAAAAACGCTGAAGAACTGCTATTTATGTTTTCAGCGCGGGGCCGTATGCTTGCCAGCACGAGTGTCTAATAGTGCTTTGAACTGGGTTCTAGAAGGAGAGTAAGCAACCGTCGGAAAGGGTTATCCCACGCAGCTATTATCCGAAATGAGAAAAAATTTTGCCTAATGAATTTGTGCGCTCTGGGCCTGAAAATCTTCTCACCATGTCTCAGCCGTGTTTGTGGGGTCAGTGGTGAAAAACTGTTGACCAAGCCTTGTTCAGAGAGGGCATAAGTTAGAATTAGGTTTCCTTGGAGGCGACGATACTCCAGGGGCAGGGGTCCAAGCACCGCAATACGCGTTTTGAAGTCCACGGACTTGAGGCCGACAACCATTCTCGTAGTGGCTCGCTGGACATTCTCGATGAGGGTGACGTCCTTCGTGCGTCCTGAGTAGACGACTTGGTTCGGTCGGTTGTGCAGTCTGACGTAGGCCCCATAGAGTATTTGGAACTCCATGCGAGCAATACGAGAACAGGTGAGCCGAATCATCTGAAAAACAGCGAATTCCTTTGGGGACGATTTCTCATGTGGCATTGAAAAAGGCAAGTTTAAGGAGAGCCAGATCCCCAAATCCTTTTTGGCGTCCATGTTTTCTGGTCCTTTCTCACCATGTATGACAAAGGCTTCCGCCAAGTCTCCTTCAAATGACATGGGCGCAATTTTCGTCATTCCTGGGAGTGTGAGTTGAACGACCACTGCTTTGCGGCGAAATTGAGCACTGAGGGACTCCAATGGCGACCGGTGCTGGAGAATGGAACCTACCTTCACTAGGAATAGTCTGTCTGATAGGAACGCTTTTGAATTGCAAAGTCATGCTTCAGAACGCGGAGTCTGCGAACATACCCCCGCATTTCAAGCAGAATCACTGGAGATTGCGGAAAACTCCACGTACCTTGGTAGTTGCATTAGCTCTGACGGAATTGTCGGATGAAGTCAGTGTTGAATCTCAAAGACTCGAAGCATGTTTATTAATATGCGTCACTTGTGGCATCATACAGGTGTATAACTAGATCTTGAGGGCGGCGTATACCAGACTACAACAAGGGTTGTGTTTTTGTATGGGTAGGAGACGTGGCCCCTACAGATGGCGGATGTGAGGCGTCTTCAGGTTTTTAACCACCGATGCCTCAAAAGCGTCGCTGGTTTTGTATGGCGTCAGCGTGTTAGTAACGGGGTGGCTAAAATTTGGGTGTTTGATTGTGGTGCAAGTACTTCAATCTGGAAAACATCCAGCATTATCGACTACGGTGGCTTGGTCATGTGCCACGCATGCCGAAACACCGTCTACAGGGACAAGTGTTGTTCTCCGTACCTCTTTCAGGATGTTGCAAACCGCGAGCTGGACAGCGCATGACTTAGCAGAAGGGAGTGAAAGAGGTCACGAGGAGTTTGGGTGTGGTTAATGTCGTACGCCTTCCAAGATGAGGGCCCCGGGACCCCGCCTGTGCTTGGCTGGAGACAGTGCGAGAAATGGCGGCTAATCGATTTCAGTTTTATCCGTGCTGTCAGTTTCTTTCCAGATCGTCTGATTGAGCAGTTGAAAGTGTGGGCACCTCAGAATGCTTGGAATAGATCTGCACTAGGTTCCCTCCCTTATCCACTGTTTTCCCTCCTTTTCACTCCAGGGCTTTTATTATAATTATACATATAAGCAGTAGTAAAGAATCAGTGCCAACACTGATATTGCTGTCTTCGATGATGGTGAGTGTTTAAGACCGGAATGTCCGAGCTTCGAACCCAACCTCGATTAATCCTACCTAAGAGTGAACAGCGTGGCAGTATCTTAACCCCGCTTCTCTTATGGTGGTACAGCGACTAGGCATGGAAAGGGTTGGTCCGGTGTGCATTGTTTTTCGGTCTAAGGATCCATAAATTTCCCTTTCCCACTCACTCTGAGGACTTCCATTCTTCGCGTCTGCATGGCAGTAAAACGCCAACACGCATTGCTGGTGCATTACTGACAGCGATAATGGTAAAGAGACAGGCTGGACATAATCAGTCATCACCTGGCACATGTTTGAGCCTATCACTCAATCGATATGGGGTGTCAAGCAACGAAATAGATTTCGGCACCACATGACAGATGTTCTTCTGGTGTGTGCACGGAATTTCTATCGGTTTCTTCTTCTGGAGACGCAAGAGTCACGTGATTCTCGGTAACGGTGACCCCGCGAGACAATCGGGGCACCAGTTAGCAGCTTTTGGCCGCTCCACCTCTGGGGCGTTAAACAATATCTTCTTCATCGATGGGGAAATTCTGCATGCAGTTCAGTATAAGTCAAAGTGAGTGACGAACTCTGATCAGATAAACCCTGACCGGCGGTGGCTTTGGGCCATAAGTTCAGCGTTTCCAACTAGCTCCCATAGTTAAACTCTCTCAAACCCTCAGCTAAACGCTTTCCTGCCTTTTAAAAACGTTTAGTCAGGACTTTTTCTTTCTTATTGAAGTGATAAATCACGGCACCCTCATATTCCAAACATTCACGTGGCAATCTCTGTCTCGCCTAACTTACTCAACAGCCATTTTCGCCGTTGTGATGATCGATGGAGAAGACCATGGAGCCAACTACTCTAATTAGTCTCATTTTCTCATAATACCTCTGATATCCATGAACATTATCGAAAGTTCGAGTATTGGCTACTAGCCCGGGACGGCTCGTCATGGACATCTACATCGTCAGAAGGTGATCCAATCAGGATCGTGCATTTTCGGTTCGATGCTTCCCGCCCCCACAGGATGGCGACGGCTCGAATTTCTCAAAGATTTAGTGGTGGGCGTAACCGACGTTACAGTTTTGCTTTGCCCCGATCTAAGGCTGTCCTCTGCTCTCGTGCCTTGTGTTATGCCCTAGCGGACGGTGCATCGAGTGGAACACTAACACAGAAGATAAAATACATTATGCACGACACAACAAATGTCACTAATCCGAACACACGGTGCCAACTTCCGTAAAGCAACTCCGAGGTCCTTTGTAATTACAAAAGTTCTAGTTCGGAAAATCCCGGTTGAGACCAACTTAAGTTGTGGCACTTATTATGTCGGTGGACAGCAAAGTGGGGTAATCTGTTAGGATGGTGCGCCACTTAGTAGACCGCTCAAAAGTCAGATATTTTACGTACTAACATAACTTGTTTTTTGAACCAAATATGCTGCAAGGCTGGGTGCACCTTGTGCATATGAATACGATGTAAAAATAAAAAAGAAAGCAGGGAGGCTTATCGGTTTGTTTGGCTTTGATTAGGTTGAAGGCAAAGGCCGGATGCATGGAGTGTCCCTTGATAATAAGTAACACATGTAGGCAGCGCTAGCTCCGATAGCCGACGCAAAGTGCAGTGAAGAATGTGGTGCTGCTTTTATTATGTGCAATGTGTGTACAGTGTATACTTATTGTCTGAACTGTGATGCAGTATGAAATCATAAACCACCGATGCTATATTTGCGGATAGAAAATTGTAAACTAAGTGAAATGCTTCAGAAGCTTATTAAGCGAATTGGAGGCGCGAAATTTTTACGGGTGTTGCCGCTAATGCAACTAGTGATTCCGCTTGCAGCACTGAATTTATACAATCTATTGGAAAGCGGAAATCGACTTTGTTAGACTTGCGGGCCTGTGAAAAATTAGATTGTTTCCGCAGGGACGAGCTGAACAGGCCCAGATTCTTACCCTCTAAAATCTACCGTCACCTTACCGTCGTAGATACCCCCAAGATTGCGGCCACGTCATTCTGCAGTGGGTTTTCCTGTTCAATACTCGTCAACCGTGTCCCAAAGTTTTCAGGAGGTTTGTTGTAAATAATCACAGCCACTGGCCTCAGTCTGAAGCCGACGGAAGGGCAGAAGAGTTTGACCAGGAAGAAACGTGTACAGAAATCCTGGCTTTAGATATTCAAGATATCAGAAGAAACACAGGGTTCCAAAAGTAAGCATTTCCGTCGGATCGTCCCCTCGTTTGTACCTCAACCTCATGAGTATTTATGTAAACCTTTTTTTAACGCTTTCAATGGTTTATTTTTACTTTCACTTACGCTTCTTTGAAATGAATGGTTCCAGAGTATTTTGATCGCCCTCATGCGCGCCTATTCCGTTACTTTAGCAATAAACTGGAGAGGCTAGACGCAGAGAGATCTGATTTCATCCTTTATTCTTGAATTTTTTCTTTTCCCACAGGGAATACAACGCAAACTTATGTGTGTAGATAGTTGATTTGCGCTGAAATCGTTCGCTGCTTGTTTGAATCATATGTATTTGAATGATGGGACGGCAAAGCAGTTTTGCTTTGCAATGCATTAAATAGAAAGCACATCTAACTGAATTTTATGGTTCTTTATCAGCCGAACGATGCGCCTTTTTAAAGACAACTAATTGGAGCAGGGTATCTTTTATAATCTCCACATTTTGAGGCAGAGTTTTCGGCGTTCTCATCAATGAAAAATTAAGAGCGAGTACTTTTGTCTCGATATCAAACTTACCGCTTCCAAGAACCGAGTAGGCCGTGGCAGAAAATCGAAACTCGACAGCTGCGTTTCCTTTGCAGGCACTGTCATACACTGTGCAGCGTGATTTTCGGCGTATCCGGATGAGCTTTGCGAACGCCAGACACCAAAACATTAGATGCAACGTTCCTGGCCATATACATGTCGCCTTCAGCATTACCGGGAAGAATTAGTCAGGGACCATTTTCCCTAATTTCTGCTGTCTTGGTGTGACCTCACACTGCGGTTCCATAAGCAAATTCGTAAAATTGTCCCCTCAGATCCTTTGACCCCCAGGGCACTAGTGAAGAACTCACAAAATCCGGTTTCTATTGTCAAATAATGATCAGGAACGCTCAACTGACAGTCCTCCGCAAGCCCTCAAAATCCTATGAGATTATCGTGAATATGTCCATGTTTATTTTCGGTAGGCCACCACAGGCCGCCGTTGGGTAGTAGTCAATGTGCTGACCGATCATTAGGTGTGTCGCGGGGCGAATCCAGGCTTCGGCGCCTGTTTACCACAAAGTCGTAGACGTTTGTAAGCATTCTGCTCACCCTGAATTGACTTCTGTAATAAAATTCCGGATATTCTGCAGACTGGAGAGAATCTTAAATTCACAGTCTCCTGCAACCGACCTTTCATCGGCGGAGATCTCATAATCAAAAAGCATCCTCTTTGGAGCTGCCAACCATCATCCTTTAAGTCCTGAATTTCTACTTCTAGCTCTCCCCTATCACTTTATTTCACAAAATTATTCTGACAAAATCTCTTCTCGTGTCTGCTGGACCCTACACAACCTGCTGCTATTGGCCTGGGGGAGAATTTTGACATTATATAGGAGGCTGAGAAACACGAAGGGCATGGTAAATAAGGTTACAAGAATCATCTTTCATAAGGCTAGGAAATTCTGGGTTCGGCGAGGCTTATTATAAATTGCCACTTCGCGTTCTAGTCATATTGGTTCCAAAGTTCCAAACTATAATTTGCGTGAACGTCCAGGATCCCTTAAAGCGAAATCTTTCAAATAGAGGCTCATCTACAAACGCGGTACTATAAATACAATGATTAAACAGCAAATTTTCACAAACCTAAAATTGTGAGACTTCGCTGGCTTTATACACCAGCTTGAGAACTATCAATTCCTGAGAAATCCAAAAGTTCACACTAGCTCAAAACCACGTGTTTACAAAACAGCAAACAACGTGATAACTTAGACAACACGCCCGACGACGAGATCAACGAACCTTCATGTTCATTAAAAAACAAGAAAGATGGTGGAGGCGCTAAAACAAACTAATAAAGGTGGAGGTTGCCGTTGAACAAAGTAAGATCAAAGG